CGAACTCACAGACCGCGAGATCGTGACCTGGCTGAAGTCAGACGCTTATCCGACTGCGCCACCCAGGCGCCCCAAGATCGAGGTTTTTCTAAACAAGCTCGGTGAAATTATTAGTTAACCTTTTCATCTTCTTGGAGTTTGGTGTGATCGGCCGGGCTGGTGTGGCTTATTCCCCTTTTCCCAGATGAGGAGAATGAGGCCTAAAGAGAGGCAAGTCATTCTGCAGGGTCCTGTGGTGCTTTGAGGTCTGTGTTCACCGCACGGCTCCTACTTGCCGAGGCTGCCTGGAGGCAGGGACCCCCGGGGCCCCCTGGGAGGAGGGAGGGCCCGGTGCTCACTCTAGCACCATCACCTCCTCTCCTTCCCTCTCCCAGAGCCCAACCTGGGGGAAGATGATGAGGACAAGGACTTGGAGCCAGGCCCATCGGGAACCTCCAAGGCCTCAGCCCAGATCTCAGGCCAGTCAGATACAGACATCACCGCCGAGTTCCTGCAGCCTTTGCTGACACCTGACAACGTGGCCAATCTGGTGAGGATGGACGGGAGCCATTTCCCACGGGGCAGGGAAGAAGGCCTTCTAGTCTTTCCCTCCCCTTCCGCTCCACACTGCCCCCTCTCCCAGATGGCATGAGTCCCAGAACACCTCTGTTCTCCGTTGGGAGGGTGTGATCCCGTGGGCCCTCCCAACCTTGGATGGACCTTTCCTCTTGTCTTTACTCCTTTAGGAGGTCCCTTGTCACCACTCCCAGCAGTCCCTCTTTGGGTAGTCTGAGTCCCCATCCAAACTCATCCCCTCTCGCTCTCTCCTCTCCTTTGAACGGAGGTTGTATTAACTGGGGAGTGAACACCATGACCTGTTTGCTAAGTGGCGTGGGATTGGCATTGGTGGGGCGGGATGGCCAGTGTTTTCCTTAGATTCTCGAAGATACCCTGCTGTGCACTGAAAGAACCGCTGGTTTGAGTTGGTGGGGGCGGGGTGTGTGTCTCACCTCAGTCCTCAGGCTGTAGCGGCACTGAGACCTGTCCATCAGGTGCTGCTGGACAGCGCCTCTTCCCCTGCAGTCCTTCCCTGCTCTCTGCCTAGAGGCTCCAGGGGGCTTAGTTGTTGGGTGCATGGAATGGAATTTTTGTCACCAGGGCAGCAAGAAGGAGGTTTCTCTCGCGCTCAGATCTCTTTGGTGAGCTCCAGGCCTGGAGACGTGTCTACGTCATGCATCGTTCTCCCCTCAGATGTTCCACAGGCCCCGCAGACTCATTATGTCAGAAGTGAACTTGCAGAATTTCTCCGTATGTTCTTCTCCAGGCCCACAGCCCTCTCTGTGCTCTTGGCACACCAGCCTCCCAGTTCCCAACCCACAAACCTGGGAGTTAAGCTGTTTGCCTTTCCTCCAGTCCTTCCCCTTGTTCTCCATCCCCCAACCCCCGCCACGGGCCCCTGCATGGCCCAGGCACCACCCGCCTGCTCCCTGGCTCTGACTCCCACTCTCCCTGTGGCAGCCAGAGACATCTTCCCGAAGTACCGGGCCTGCCGCTCCCCTGGCTCCCCTGCTCCAACCCCTGCCGTGGCTCTCCATTTCCTTCCAGATAAAATTTGAATGCAGCTTGCCTCAGGCCCTGCCTGATTATGCTTCCGTTCAGTCGGTGTACCTCATCTGTCCTCTTCACATCCTGGGAAATTGTCCTTTTAAAATTATTGGCTGAAAGCTCTTCACAAGATTCTTTTACTTTTGTAATAACTGCCGTTTGTTAGTAATGTGCAGCGTTTTGGTTTCTAATATTGTCTTTTTACTCTTTTTGTTATCATTCAGTCTTGCCATAGGTTTGCCTTTCAAAGAACTGGCTCTGAAGTTTTGTTTATACTCTTGTGTAACCTTTTCTGTTTTATTTCTGTTGTCTTTATTTCTTTCCTTGAATATCTTGGTCCCCAGGGTTTTAAGTTAAATGCTTGGCTTATAAGTTTTCAACTGTCTTACCCCCGACCAGCCCTCCCCGCCCCCTCCCTCCTTCCCTGCCCCCCCCCCCGCCCCCACCATAAGCATTTAAGGATTTGATTTTCCAAGTACCATTTTAGCTGCATCCCACACATTTTGATTTGTAGTTGTTTTAGTATCTCTCTGTTCTAATTATTTGATTATTTCAGGTATATATTTAAACATCTAAGCATGTAGGGATTTTCAAATTACTTTCTGTCACCAGCTCCTGACCAAAATAGACAAGCTCTCCTTAGGATATGGATTTCTTTTTAAGCCATCTTTTCACATTTGTTTGTTTTTGAGAGAGAGAGAGAGGGAGAGATCATGCGTACATGGGTGATGGGCAGAGAGAGAGGGAGATGGAGAATCCCAAGCAGGATCTGTGCTGTCCGCGGAGAGCCTGATGTGGGGCTCGAACTCACACGCCATGAGATCATGACCTGAGCTGAAACCTAGCGTGGGATGTTTAATCATCTGAGCCACCCAGGCTCCCCAATGGATTTTTGTAAAGCCCATTTCTGGTTCACAGGACACTCTTCACAGAGCTTCCAGGCTCTTGGCAGGATTCTGCTGCTCCTTAGCGCCCCCATGCTGTTCCTATACCCGGAATGCGCACCCCCTCCCACTGTGAGATGTCACAGTATACCAGTCTGAAGCTTGCCCTCCTCTCAGATCTCAGTCTAGGTGCCACTTCCCCGGGGAGCCAAAGCTGCCCCGGCCCTCCTGAGCACCTCATGGCACCCTCTACTTCCCCCTCTTGGGCACCATGCTGCAGCATTGCTCATTTTCTGTCTGACTTACCCAGGAGTCTGAGCCCCGTGAGACCCGGCCCGGGACCGTCTTAGTCACCGTCCTTTGCCCAGCCTGGGCCTGGGCCTGGAACAGGTGTTTGTCGAGTCAGTGAGTAAGGAAGGACTCCTCTCCCTGGGCATCCTGCAGGTCCTCATCAGCATGGTGTACCTGCCCGAGGCCATGCCCGCCTCCTTCCAAGCCATCTATACCCCCGTGGAGTCAGCAGGCACCGAAGCCCAGATCAAGCACCTGGCTCGGCTCATGGCCACACAGATGACGGCTGCGGGACTGGGGCCAGGTGAGTGTCACGTGGAGCTGACCTGGACAGGGCTTGTCCCCGTGGCCGCTGGCTTCTGCTTACTGGAGGAGCACCTCTTCCTGGTGGTACAAATGACACTCACGGGAGATGTTAGGGGTAAATAATTACAAGTCCCCTAGATACCTTGAGTGCTTGATATTTTCAGTCCCTGGGCTTTGAATCCAACAGACCTTGGTGTGAGGTCTGTATTGAACCAGACTGCCTCAGCCACTTAATAGCTGTATAACTTTGGTCAAGTTACTTAACCTCTCTGAGATTCAGGTGTTTTCCTACATTAACAGTACTTTTGAGCTATAAATTATATAGAGAGACACAACTCTGAACTGTACATCTTAGTGAATTTTCGTAAAGAGAGCACAGCAACGTAGTCACCATCCAGATAGAGATATAGACCATTTCCACCACTCTAGAACATTCCTTCTTGCTCCTACCAGTCGCACTCACGGCATCCCACTTCCTGAGATGATCACCATTTTTTTTTTTTT